TCAAGGGCCCTGACATTGTCCTTTTCAAAATGCACGGGAACAATAACCCTGTTTCTTAACCATCTCCATCCTTTCCCTTCTCCCACAAGCCACCGAACTCCAGAAAGAATCAGTCTCATCTTGACCCCGATGGTGCTGAACTGTGGCATCCATTGTGCATACAAAGCAGTCAAACATTTTCTTGGACAGTGTTTTCTTTCTATAATGTTAGGCCTGAGTTCTCTGGACCAGGACTGAAGGGTAGTTTGAAAGAGTCCAGGCACATGCTTGCTTGAAGCCAAAATTGCTTAAGGTTGGCATGGCGATCCTGTGACTCACTTATGTGGGAATCTAGAGACTCCAGAGGGGTCCCTCACTTTCCCTTTCCCTCCTCCCTGGCAAAATTAGCCTTGAAAACAGAAGAAAATTATTTATTTACTTGCGTTAGTTTGGGACACAAAGAAATAATGTTTCAGGGAGGATCTTATCTTGTAAGTAATGAGCCACAAAGCATTTACAATAGTAAAATATGATTTTCCCAGATCTGGTCTTTAAAAAGATAAAACAAAGGAAAGGGGACTATGGACTACTGGGAATAAACTCGAGGGGAAGCTGGAATGGGAGGAACCTTCTTTGAAAGAGTTAAACACAAAGGAGTTAAACCAGGCACCAAATGGGGGTGGGGGGGAGCTTCAAACTAATTTCACACCCAAAGTGATGTTTCATTTGAATCCTGCTTGTCCCAGAGGGAAAAGGTTAGCCTTGTCACTTGACTCGTAAGCCCTCCCCTTCCTCCTTTCCTATGAATTAAAAATTCAGATCAACCATTAATCATGATGTGGCGTGTTCTCTCTCCTCTTCTTTTTCCTCCCTTCTGTTCTAAAAATCAAATGAAAGCTTTGGATCACATCTGGGAACCCATGGATGGGCCAAGGCTCCCAATCTATCTTGACAACAGAGATAAGACAAGAACAAGGACACACACACACACACAGAGACGTCAATTGCTGGACAGTGCTCACAGCAAAGCTCGCAAACACAGACAGCTAGTAGTCGCCCCAGGCTCCCTGAGACCCGTTTCTCCACCCAAACTGATTTCTGCATATTTGCAAATGTAAAATGAGTCATTGTAAATAGCAAGGAGGGCAAGACTGATATTACAACTTTCAACATTCTGACAAATGCCCTGGAACTCTTCAATTAGGAAATACACTCGTGACAGTCATCACTCCTAAAAGAGAAAGTGATTACACTCTAACCAAACCCTAAGTACAAGCTAAAGGTATTCACCTCGTGAAGCCGTTCCTCACTAGCCCCTTGGCACTCGCTGGAGTTATTCGCAGCACGAGCTCTACTTTCTCATTTTCTGCTTTGTCCATGTGGGTAATTTCTTTCTCATGATTACAAGTGAGCTTGGCAGATCCTTTAAAATGTGGTTTTAGGTGAAGCTGGATCCAAGCGCATCCTTTGTCTGGGGCAGCTTTCTAGTAATTCACCGTTAGACCATTGGACTGATGGGCAGGTCCAGGCGATATTCATGCACCTAAAATGATTTTTTTTAAGGGCAGACTTTATAGATATCTTTATCCAAATGAATTTTTACATGGCTGCTGGCAGATGAAATGAACTGTTTACCTTGGAAAGAATAGGCAGGCTTTTCTCTTCCAAATAATCACTCCAGCCTGTCTGAATGCTGTCCAGGAGTGATTCTGCACCCTTCGACTTATCTGGCATCTGAGGTCGTGAGATAACCCTTGTCCGATTGGCCTCCTTCCCTGGCCCCTTCATTATTAGCCTCCTGGTGGGTGAGATAGAATACAGTGAATGTAATAACCCTACTTCACACAACAGGCTCGCTCTCTCTTTTAAATTGAAAATCCCCTTATTACAAAACAAGGGGTGTTCTTTTTCTTTCACTTCTAAGTAGGACTGCCACATTCATTGCTCTTCACAAAAACGCAGCTGCTTTTTAAGCTACAGATAAATAGAATCTGCTAGGCGGTAATTCAACTCAGTCTGAATGCATTATTTTCTAAGACACTTTGGCGAGGGGCTTTTTATTATAAACTGGAAGGAACAAGGAAAATCCTTTTCTCTTCTAATTATGAATGTGTTTTGTCCCCTACCATTAACCTACAATGTCAGATTGATCTTCTTCTTCTTTCTCTGCACCCAGTTCAATAAATCAACATTCCCCCCCCAGAAAATTAGAGGGCCAATGATTAAGTCTTCATGAACTTCCATGACAAAAACAAAAATAGAATGTGGGAAGACCAAATGCAAATGCTGAAACCATATACAAAAACGACGAAGTGGCCCTCCAACATGCAAGGCAGTAAGATTCCTGTTTTGACATCCAGAGTTACGACAAATAGGATTTCCTTGTTTAATTTTATCTTCAAAAATTAAGGCTCTCAGGACACTTTTGTATATAGGCTCATCCAGAAAGAAAATGCATTCATATATACGTGTATGGAACATTTCTCTATAGCGTCCAGACCTTGTGGTTATGACAGACTTCTTCCTGATGGCCAATAGTAATCATACTGGACATTCGCAGACTTCTTGAGGGAGTGAAATGAAGGAGCAAAGCAGAAGAGGAAATACTTTGACAAAGTGTGTTCAGGTTAAGCTTCTGCCGACATTGCTTTAACTCTGAAGCTAAACACTGAGAAAAATGGCAATTTCTTCATAACACCAAAAGGCAATCTAGAAGCCCCATCAGCCTGGGTATTGGCTTAATTTTGATCCCAATGTTGATATTTTTGGCTCTAAGATTACCACCGACCACAGTGGCTGTGCTCTGGGTCTATATGGATGCATTGCCTTTGCCAAGGGGGGAGTCCCACAGGATGTCAGTGGGGTTCCAATTAAGCAAAAATAAATACTGCTGCAGCCCTGACAGGAAGTGGAGATGGCCAGCTTATCAGGGCACACAGGCAGGTGCCCCCTCCTGAAGTGGCAGATTGAAAGTCCACTCTCATTTCCTTCCCTTCCATACCAATAGAAAGCAAATTGCTGAAGAGTAACCATGTGCAGTGAGAGTTTCAGAATGATTTATTGTTGTTTGTTTATATCATTTTAAGTTTTCTTTCAATAAGGGCGATAGTGAGAATCAAAGACACTTCTACAAAACAGTCTTTCCTGAGCCCTGAACTGAGATTGTGTGCATGGTTGAGACCTCTAAGATATTTTTGAGAGAGAAGATACAGAGAGAGAGAGAGAGAGAGAGAGACAGAGAGAGAGAGAGAGACAGACAGACAGACAGAGAGACAGAGAGAGAGAGACAAAGAGAGAGACAGAGAGAGAGACAGAGAAAGCTTGAAATGGCTTTTGCATTTAAAACCATGCTGCATTTTCTGTGTAACTCTGCCTGGAATTGCTAAAGGGTGGATATTTATCCCAGCGTGGTGCTGACTGAGTTTCCCGAGCTCCCACTCTAGGAGGAGTGTGTTGCAGTGAGTGAGGGTGACAGCTTTGGAGATCCTACTACTTTGCTTGGATTCGAGTCAATTTCCTGTCCTCTGATATGCCTGGGGACAACCAATAGGCCAGCAGGCTGCCTGTCTGGGCATCAGGAGCCTGGGGGATGTGGTGGCAACCCGAGAAGCCCAGGTCACCTGGAATAAATCAACGAGCCCTCCTCTGAGCACAAATTACAGTGTAGCAGGCACCACCGTAAGAGTGAAATTGAATCCCTCCCTATCCGTATCTCCACTGAGTCACCAGCACAGGGACAAGCCTGCTTTGGCAATCAAGAATGTTAATTTTGTAACAGAAATATATGAAGCAAACAGAGGAAAAACGATCTCCACTTGTGTATTAGAAGGAATTTAATTTCCTAGATACCCTGATATAGAAGCTAATTTTTTTTTTTAGTGCTAGTGAGGATTGATCCAAGTACCTTCACACTGAGCTACATTCCCAGCCCTTTATTATTTTATTTTATTATTTTTTTAAGATGGTCTCACTAAGTCACTAAATCACCTAGTCTGGGCTCGAACTTGTGATCCTCCTGCTTCAGCCTCTCAGAGTACTCGGATTATAGGCAAATGCCACCACACCTAGCTAGAACACATGATTTTTATAGACACTGATTTTCCAAGATTACCCACAAAGATATCTTTGAATATTTGCTTCCCTCAATCCATCCTTTCCTCCCTTTGACCTTGGATGTTCAATAACACAGACAAAAGGCAGATAGTCAGGGTTGAATGTGAGCTTGTGAGGAGAGCAGAGGGTCACCATCACCTGCCACTTGTGTTATTATTTTAATGAAAGTGTGTGATATTAATACAAACCACCAATGAGAATGTTTAGGCTTCATTAAACTTTTGAAATAATGAAATTAGTAGTTCTACTGAAGACGAGTCTGTGAGGAAGAAAAGAAAATTGCCTTTCCCGCTGCAGAAGACCCAGCGGAACACTGCTTTAGTAACCTGGCCTCACTGTATTTGGGACAAGTAAAAAAAGAAGTAGAAACAAAGTAAGCAAGAGGACAAGGAGAAGGAGGTGACGAAGGAAGAGGAGAAAGGGGAGGAGCAAAAGTCAAGTTGCTATGGGAAAAAAATGAATTATTTTGTTCCTTTCCATACAGATAAAAATAACTCTCCTCCCACAATCCTCCTGCCACTGAGACGCAAATTCAGCTTATAAAGTCGCTAAGCCTGTTTCACCTCCTTTAAGTCAAGGATAGTTACTTCTGCCTTATGGGTCTTCCGTAAAATTTGAATGAGGTTCCAAACAGTATCTATCCTAGTATATTCCCAGCGCGTCAGGCTCCTTGTTCTTTTCTCCTTCACTGCCTGAAATTCCCTACAAGCTCCAAGAACACCTCACAAGGCACAAAACCTAGTACAAGCCAACCCCACCCCCAGCTCATTCCTTCTTCCCACCGGCTTCAAATCACTTTACACTTTCCGTGGAAAATCCAAACATTACCTTTGTATTGCCTCTGGGTCCTGAGGGTAAGAAAGATAATGAGTCTTAGAAATGAGAAAAGGGGACCCTAAATGTGTTATGATTAGATTCATAGTGTGTTCTGAAAGAGTTGCTAGGTAAAACCAAGCTCCCAGGGTCCTAAGAGATGACATCCACAGGGCAAAAGTAGAATCCATTTGGTTTTGGAGCAATTGCTTCCCTGTCCCTAGCTCAGGTTAGCACACACATCTCATGTCTGCCTGCACATACAGGTACAGTCACACACACCTGCAATTGCCACCTCTCAGGTGTACTGATGCTCCACCCAAGAATTAAGAAGAAATCTGCTTTAATTACCACACTCTTCCCCGGGTGGCGAAACTGAAATCACTAAGCTCCCTGCAAACACTGGGTGAGTTTGAATTTGCAAAACTGCCAACATACTTCATCTCTACTAAGTCAAACGTCAGCTCACCACACCCAGATTGCAGAAGGACAGCATCAGGGCAGGGGGGGACTATGACTTCATTATTAAGATAGAGTATATTTCAAATGACAGTATACTAACCTACTCTTAAATATGCTTTGTTGATTTCACTTTAACACCAAGCGTGTAGATACTATTTTAAATGGAAAATAGAAGCTACATTATGAAGATGAACTTTGGCATAAGTGTAGCCAGTTCCTTAAAAGAGCAAAACACATTGTTTTGAATGAAAAATAGTTGGCTCATCATCCCTTCTCCCCCAACTCTACTTTCTAAGTTGGGTTGTTCAAAATGATTTCATTTTTAGAAAGCCAGATATAAGGATCAAACTCAAGAAATTAGTGTATGAGAAAAATACAGTCTCAGAAGGGCAACTTTGAAAAGACATTTTCCTGCTGATGGCTGCCTGCTGGTGAACCTGCTTTCCAAGTCAGGAAGAGGCTCCAGAATGCACTGACGCTGGGAGATCCCAGCCAAGAGTCTTAACCTCCACAGCAGCAGGACAGGGCGGCGGATGGGGGCACCAAAATGGAGGGTGCTATTAAAGGTGGGGTGTCCTACAAATGAGGAAAAACCAAGTGTCACAGTCAGCATGGAGATGCTCCGAGTATGAAAAGGAACACAGGCTTTTTTACCTCCTTGTCAGGGCTTCCTGACACCCAGTGCTTTCGTGGGGTCAGGCAATGTGTCCCTAGCTTCTGTTTTCTGTTCCCCTTCAGGAAACACAGTGAAAAATGAGGGCGCTCAGCATTCCTTTAGCATGTCACACTTGGATACCTCTTTTCCTCGCCGGCAAGTAAGTCATAGCATTTGGACTCACAGAAGAAGCATTAAAGTTCATTTAGAACAAAAGAAATTTGCGTATTTTTGACTTCTATTTTGAGAGTGTCCATGGTACAGTTAAGTTGGAAATGTTTTGTATAATGAAGATCGCTGAGGCATAAATCACCAAGACAAAAACTGAGACATAAGACAAGAGGAAACCCGGAAGCTCATTAAATTCGAGGAGGGCTTCTCAAAGGATGCTCACCAATCTTCTTGTGCTAATATTTTGTGTTTGAAGGGGGAAAGAAGTGAAAAGTCATCATGGTTGTAGAGTCCACAGTGTGGTCTTTTAACGAAAACCTGAGAAGGGGGAAAAAAGATGAGATCCATGGCTTTCTGTGCAGAATGGAAGCCAGGGCCAAGATGCAAAGAATAGATAAGTTAGAACAGCAGAGGAACTAAATTTGAAGCCAGGCAGTAAAACGGATTGAACCTTATTACCTTCAGTCCCTGAGAAATTCCCAAGACAGTTGGATGCAATTTGAAAAGGTCAGAAAAAAATATTTCCTGCTCAGCATTACCGCGTTTGGTTTAAGGGTGTACATTTGTGAGATGCCAACTCTAATCATTTTTATTGACTTTGCTTTCTAGAGACAGACAGACAGTCTAGGAGACAAGACCCGTAGATAAGAGAAAGGTATCTTATAAGTGAAAATCTCTCTTATTTTGTTCTCTCACTTATGACTGCGAACAACTGAATCTTGCCCATTTTAAGTGAAATTACACCAACTTCCTGTGGAAGACTGACAGAATGGAAATGAAATCTAGGAAAGCGTCACTACAATTCTAGTGAGGTTATTTCCCTTTGATCGCTGTTTCCTTTGCTTCTATGTATATGCTAAGCATTAGGAAAGGTAAATGATGTTCCATTAATCCATGTGGGAAAGAATATAAGTGAAATACCATAAAGCACGCCAGAGTGCGGATGTTAATTTGTTCTTTTGAAGAGTGGCTCCACGAAAAAGGGAAACCCACATGAAGGGGTAAAACTAAATGAAATGCAAATATACACTCAAGATATTATTTTATTGAAAGTGATATTGTCACTGGAGCCCTTCCAAATGCAAAACCAAAAATTCTCCTTTTACTTAAATGAGAGTTGTGTGCAGTAACATTTTGGTAGCAAATCACTTTCCCTTTTTGCATGCAATCAGAAGTCAAAGCTGACTTTTCCACACAGAATGGCACCATCCATTCCAGCTCATCAGAGTTTTAATTAACATCTGACTTTTCTTTCTGTGAGGAGCCATGTCTTTCAGAGGCAAACACAACCCTATTACTCTTATCTTGGTTAGCAACAAAGCTAAAAATTTTTTTTCATTGAGTTTACTGGTACTTTTTAGTATACAGTAAGTGACATTCATCGTTGGGATCTTGTACCTTTACATGACAGATCTTGGTCCTCATTTTTTCCCCCATACCCCTGCCCTCCCTTCACCCCTTCCTCCCTTCCCTAGTTACAAAGACTTTGTTTCCATTTTTTCCTTTTCTCGCCTTTTTTCTTTTTCCTTATTTCTTTTTCCCTACCCTTCCCACTTCCCCTACACTTTTAGCCCTTTTCTTCCTATTTCACATTATCAGTTATACAATTTGGATCTTATTTACAAAATTTTTAATGGCCGTGAGACTTGCTACATGCTTTTGCGTGATGGTCTGAGCTCATGAGAATGTCCTAGCTGCTCACTTAGGACTTTGCAAACAGCAAGATGTCTTTTCCTAAGGGCATCCTTCATTCTGCTCAATTCCATGCATCACAGTGCTTGGGATTTCATATTATCCTGCAATCCACTGGTTGCCGCTACCAACAACATCAGAAGCCAGTTACAGGATGGCTTTTTATAATGTCAGGCGTTAGAAAGAAAAGTGGACAAGCTAGCTCGTCAGCCAAACATCTGTATTCTTGGCAGTGAAGGTCAAGATATCTTGCTTATAACTCACTGTGTTCTTTCTGACTCATGTGAATAACTGACATCAGTTAAGTACAAGAAGTACAATTTAGTGAGTTTTTAAGTTTTTCAACTTATGCAACATTTTAGAAAGGTTTTTATTGAAATTTTGTGATAATGTATAGGCCTCCAATGAATCGCGTTTAAAACTTGAGATTTCCCACATTTCTCCCTCGCCTCTCCTCTCTCTCTCTCTCTCTCTCTCTCTCTCTCCTTCTTTCCTTCTTCTTTCTGCCTTTCATCTTTCTCCAAAAGTGGGTATTGGATTCAGGACCTTTGCATTGAACTAACCCTTTTTAAAGATTCTTTATTATGAGATAAGGAGGTCATTAGTTTGCTCAGGTTGAGCTTGAACTTGTGATCCTCCTGACTCAGCCTCTCAAAATGTTTAGGTTACAAGCACGAACCAGCATATCTGGATCCAACATCTTTATTTTTATAGTCTCTGTTTTATTGGCAGAAATACATGGATCTTTTGGTTTCTACTACCTAAGTTCTCCATGAAGTAATATTCTGAACAGTAGTATCAATAAGAATGCCAATAATAGTAATAATGCTTAAAGTATTATTACTATTTAAAAACAATGATAATAAATGTGATGACCATTAGTTGAGTATTTACTAAGTGTAGTGTCATACAAATACCTCCTCTCATTTAATTTTCTTGGCCAATGGAAAAATAAAAATAAATGTGACTTTTCTTCTTCTCCTCATGATACCCATGAGGAGAAAGAGGCTCCGGGAGTTAAAAGAAAATAGTAGGCATTGATGCTGGGACTCCAACTCGGGCTTATCTAACTCTGTTCTTACTGTGTTGAAGCTTTTAAGCATGCACCATGGGCAATACAGAACCGAGAGTGCCAGTCCTCCCCGATCACAGGGAATTTCGGAAGCTCCATTAAATCAATCTCACTGCTCATGTAGACTAAGCCATGCCCACTACACGTTTGCTAACACCCACAAACTGCAGGAACCTTCGAGAGTTGCAACTAATGCTCACTTTTAAGTACCCTTCCTGTCCTTACAGAATGTAGCTTGTGAAGAAAATAAGACTTAATCAGCTGGCGTGGCTCACCAGCACCTAATAAATTCTGGAGCCTAATGACCCACAAATTGCTTTTCTATTTGAATTATCTTTGAATTATGCTCAGAGATGAGCAGGAAAATTTCTTCTTCGCTAGGGCTGCATTAAGGCCAAATGTGTTAGTTCACTGAATCATTCTTCAGACACAACTTTAAAGGGAAATATGTAGCTATTTTGTTATCTCAGACAAATAAGCAGAATAAAAAGAAAGTAATGATGGGTCACGGGGTTTAGCACAGAAAACACTGCAGGCCTTTGATTGCAACAAAATGTACCAAACATTGCCGGTTTCAACAGAAGGTTATTTTGTCATTATTTAGTAAAGATTTATTCTAACCAATTTACCAACTATCTCCCTAGCAGTAGCTCTTTCTATTTATAGAGAGATTGTGACCATAAGTGTCAAATGCTGGCTGGCTGTCCCAGCCCATGCCAGGTACCTGTTTTTCCCTGCCTTTAGGAGCTCCTTCTGATCCCTTCCTGTCCAAGGAGAGCCTGGTCTACTACTCAGGCCTCCTTTGCAGAGGGAGCCCCTTCATCCAACCATGAAAGGAAAAAGCTGTCTCAGAGCTCTAGAGGCAGTAAAGTGAGTCAGTAGGAGTCATACCAGCAGCAGGGCTTCATGTCTTGCAGAATGATGTCACTGCTCAGGTCTAACAGTGAGAGCATTTAACAAAGAGGAAGGCAATTGGGCGCAGCTACTGACAAGTGAAGAGAAGAACCGGCAAAGAGGAGACCAGGAGACCGGTCACAAAATGAGCTTAAGTCTGTGTTATGGATTCCCTGGTGCTTTAGGCACCTTGCTTTTCTTAAGCCCAGAGCAGGGCAGAGAGCAATACAGAGGGCATGATATGGGCTCTTTTCTTGGCATCTATGAAGTGGAACAAAAGGAATCCAGCTCACAAAGAAAGGAGAGGCACAAGATACCTTCCATAGTCCTCTAAGTTTTAATGCCTCATGTCAAGGAATTTGATTTTAGGCTCAGTTCATCTTCAGAAAAAGGTGCTTAAGAATATTTTAAGACAGGTTAATTGGCTAACTTCTATTTTTTTCAAATGGAAATCTGCTCTCAAAACAAATTATAATTTCATTAAAAACAAAGCTCCGTAGTAAAAGTGCTGGAAGAAACCGTCATGCTAGATTATTATATGAGATTTCTATTTTAACTGATTCATCCCGGAAGCACAATCTCAGCTTCAGGCACTAATATCATTAGAATTAACTTCTAGAAACGATGCTAAGAAAAGATGACATACAATTAGAACATGGTATTTATAGTTATAGAAGCAGTTGACACACCTCAGGTGTTGCAGAGAATGAAAACAGCTTTTTCTTTCTCCTCCCTGGATCAAAACACAGTAATTTAGTAATTTCTAAAAGTTTTGATTTGATTTTTATTTTAGTCATTTCTTCCAACATTTCAATGTCACAATGTTAAATGCTTTGTGTACCTGGCGGTCCTCCAGAGGATGTGGGTAGTATGAGAACCCAAATGTTGTCCCAGTCCATTTTCTGTGGATTACAGGGTCCTCCAGAGCATATTATTTCCTATGCAGGGGAAAGCGTTGCTTAACTTTTTTCTGAATAATTCTCAAAATCAAATTTGTGAGTTTTCAGGAGAGATGATCCTCCCTCCTGGATGGGTGATGGAAAACACAACCTGAGGGGCAAACATGCATATAATTAGCATAAAACATGTTAGCATACAGATGTCTTTAAAATAATAAACAACAGAAAACTAAAATACTTATCCCCAAAAGAAAGTGACGAGAAAATATGAAACTACTGTGTACTTCTTGCTTGACAACCCTAGCCTGAAAACCAAACAGAGCAGTCTCATTCAGAGAAGGGTGCAATGTCTAGGGAGATGGAAAAATCACTTTCCAACTCCTTCTGCTTTGATTTATTTTGCTTTTGATCACCACATGGCTATTTTCTATCCTTCACCGCATACCACCCCTTCTCTCTCTAAAAGAGAAAAGAAAAATTACAGGAAAGCTAAGTATCTTCCTCTCTTTTCCTTTAAAAGTTGCCACCATGTACTTGCAGACAGTGTTTCTTTTTCTTTTTCTTTTCTTTTTTTCTTCCTTTTCTTTCATCCAGCTTTCTGTTTTTCTAGATGGTGCACCAAATACTGAGTTTGGTGATTCGATGACCAAGAAGACTGAGGGGCCTCGATTTAAGAGTGAGGTGGGGGTTGGTGTTTTTAAACACTTAAATCATTGTCTCCTTATATATTTTAAATAGGTAGCACCTAACAGGATGGTAAAGTAGCTTAGGATGGATGATGTGGGAGGGAGAAGCAAATCTTTAGTCATCCTCATCTTAAAGTCTGACATGGGCATGTTTAGAAAAGTCGGGAGATCACACTTAGCTTTGGTTTTCTCTTTTATAAAACAGTGATAAGGGAGTTGGCTTGTCTAGGCTGTTGTGAGAATTGGAGAATATATATGGAAAGTGACTAGGACATGGTAAATGATCAACAGAGGGAGCTCTGTTCACATCCCTCAATGGCATTAATGAAGACTCCACGATTTTGTCATTCTAGGATTTGGTAGGCCAACTACCATCCCACTTCCGCTTTGTATTTATGTGGATTTGGATAGACCCAAAGAAGTCTACTGAGGAATGACGTCATAAAAGATGACGTCTTCTTCTGGATCTGTGGTGGCATGGAATTATGAAGGAGTGATTTAAATTGCTCTAGAGACTGTAAGGTTGAGAAAATTAAAATCCTAACATTATAACTCATCTCCATGAGAGTAGGGGTTTAAATTTAAATTTAAACTGTGCAAAACCTGATAGGAAGTGTAAATATTTTATATGATTCAAACGAAGCAAGGATTTGCCAACCACACCTCAAATTACCTGACACAGGTGAACTCCTTGAGCAAGCCCCATGTTGAATAGTTGAAACACAGTGTGCTCCTCTCTAGACAGCATGTACATTATCTCAGTCCTTTTGATATTTAGTTATTTTTGATGGCCATCTGTTTAGAAATTAAAACACAAAGAGAGTTTCTCTAATAATACCATTTGATTTTCTCAATTTACTCTCAACTTTGAACCCTTTCTTGATACTGATTATTGAACAAATGTGCGTCTTGATCTCTTGGCATAAAAATGAGAAAGGAAACCCTTTTTACAGATTAGTAAATTCTGTAGGGAGTTGAAAGTCTTGATATGTGTCCCTTTGTTCTCTTCTGTGCAGCACAGGTCTTGAACCCACCCTTCCTTATCTCACACTTCCCCACATGTGAGCAGTTCCATTTCCATGAAAATCTGCACATCAATTCTTTGTTGTTAAGATTATTGTTACTTTTTAAGTATACAGTACAGGTACATTCATCGTTGGGATCTTGTACCTTTACATGATGTATCTTGTTTCTTATTTTCCCCATTCCTCTGCCCTCCCTTCACCCCCTCCACCCTTCCTTATTTACAAAGACTTTGTCTCCATTTTTTCCTTTTCTCATATTTTTCTTTTCTTTCCTTCCTCTCCCCTAACCTTCTTACTTCCCCTGCTCCTTTAGCCCTTTTCTTTCTACTTCACTTATCAATTATACAATTTGAACCTTATTTACACTTTCAGTTTTTCACACCAGAGAAACTATTTGGTATTTTCATGTGTGTCCTATTTATTTCACTTGAATATGGTCTCAATATGCATCCACTTATCTATAAATGTCTCGTTTCTCATTTTATATGGCTGAGTAGTATTCTATTTTGTAAACAAAGCAAAATAAAACAGACCACATCTTCTTTATTCAGTCTCCAGTTGATGGGCAACTGGGCTGTTTCCAAGTTTTAGCTGTTACAAACTATGCTACTATAAACATGGGTGTGCATATATCACTGTTGTATGATTCTTTTAATTCTTTTGGAAAGATACCCAGAAGGCACATGGCTGGGTCAAATGGGACCTTTAATCCTAGTTTTCTGAGGTATCTCCATATTGAGTTTCACAGTGGTTGCTCCAGTCTGCACTCCCACCAACAGTGGAGAGGGGTTCCTTTCTCCCTACAACCCCACCAGCATTTGTTATTGGTTGATTTCTTGATAGCAGCCATTCTTTCTGGTCTACCCATCAATTCTTGAAAGCTTATATTGCCTCATGAATACCTTAATCCCCACCACTGACACATAATAATGAACTCCCATAGGTATTTTTTTTGACAAATTCATTGCCTAGTTGAATTTAAGATAAACACATTGCAGATAAATTTTTACTTCTATGCATGTACACAGATTAATGGTTCTGTGTTTACATTTTCCTGTTTAAATGTATCTCCTTGAGCCTATGTCTTGAGACAAACACCATGTTGTGGGCATTCCTGCTGAATGTCATTTAATTCTCATCTTTCTTATTCACAGGGAACTAATAGAGGCCCAGTTTATTGCCCTTTGAAGCTAGTTTTTAAAAGAAAATATTTAGAAAGACACACTCCAGTAAATAAACAAAAAGCTTAGCATTTCTTTGGCTTTCAGGATTTGCAAATACTTTGATTGCCTGCATGCTTCTGAGAATGGCTCCTCTTGCAAAGAAAGGCAGGCCCAATAATCACATCAATACATATGTATACAAGCAGTAATATCAAGGCTCTGTAGGTCCCATGGTAAGGTAAAACATATTTTTTTCTGCAATCCAAAACGAATCTGAGGCTCTACCAATTTGTTCCTTTAAGAATATTTCAACATTTCACAGGGCTTTGTTTTTAATACTAAAGATGTACAGATGCTTTTGTTCTATAGTTGGTTTAAGAATTTAAAACAATACAAAAGGAATTCAACTGTTTCCAGTCAATTTACAGTAGTTATTTTAGTTCAGCTGGTTGCTTTTTCTTCATTTAAAAATCTGTGGTTAAATATGGAGTATTTTACAGTCAGATTGGAAAGAAAGAAGTTAAAATATTCCTGATTGCAAGCATAGGATCTTGTTTATAGAAATTCCTAAAGACTCTACCAGAAAAAGTTAGAATTAATAAACAAATTCAGTAAGTTTGCAAATACAAAATGCATATATAAAAATCAGTAGCACTTCTATGCACTAACACAAAACTATCTGAAAAAGAAATCAAGGAAACAATCTCATTGATAATAGGTATTAAAAGATTTTTTAAAACCCTGCAAATAAATTTAATCAAAATACCTATACACTGAAAGCCATAAAACATTAATGAAAGAAACTAAAGGAAGCACAAATAAATGGAAAGGTATCCCATGTTCATAGATTGGAACAATCAATGTTAAAAGGCCAAACTGTCCAAAGTGAATTAAAGATTCAGTACAATCCTTATCAAAATTCTAATAACATTTTTCACAGAAATAGAAAAAATTTTTAAGATTCATATAGGACCACAAAAGACCTCAGTAAATAAAATAATCTTGAGCAAAAAGAACAAAACTGGAGGCATCAGAACACACAGCTTCAAAATATACCGCAAGACTAAGGCAATGAAAATAACAATGTATGCACATAAACACATACACATAGAACAATGAAGTATGTTAGACAGCCTAAGATAAACCAACCCATTAACAGTCAACTGACTTTCAGCAAAGGTGCCATGAATACACAATGGAGAAAGAACAATCTCTTTCAATAAAGGAAACTGGGAAAACTTGACATCCATATTTAGAAGAGTGAAACCAAACCATAGCCTGTACCAAATAGAAAAATCAACTCAAAATGGATTAAAGACTTAAGTGTAATAACTAAATGTAAAACTGAAAAACAGTTTTAGAAGAAAACATAGAAGAAAACATAGGGGAAAACCTCTATGACATTGGTCTGTGCAATAATTTTTTGATGCCAAAAGTTTTTGGACACCAAAAATACAGGCAATGAAAGTAAAAATGAATAAATGGAGATTACATCAAACTAAAAAGCACCTGTACAGCAAAGGAATCAACCAACAAAGAAAAGAGACAACCTATGGAATAGAAGACAATTTTTTGCAAGACATATATAAGTGGTTAACATCTGAAACATAAGAATCTCAAATAACTCAGGAGCAAGAAAAAAATTAAAACAAAGGCAAAGGACCATTGAAGAGAGAGTTCTCAACAGAAGACATACAAATGGCCAACAGATACATGAAAAAAATGTTCAACATCCTTAATTACCAGAAAAAATACAAATTAAACTGACAATGAGCTGTCACCACACACCTGTCAGAATGATTATTATAAAAAAATGAAAGATAACACATTAGCAAAGATGTGGAAAAATAAGAACACTTGTATATCCTTGGTGAGAATATAAAGTAGTACAGACATTATACAAACTAGTATAAAAGTTCCTCAAAAAACTGAAACTACCATATGATCTTGCAATCTACCATATGATCTAGCCATCCACATTTGGTGTAAATCCAAAGGAAATGAAATTAGCAAGTCAAAGAGAGATCCCACTTCTATGCTAAGAGTAGCATTATTCACAATGGCAAGATATGTAATTAACCAGTCATACATATACATTGGTGGATGTATGAAAAAAGAAAATGTAGTATCTATCCACAATTAAATATTATTTGGCCTTGAAGAAGTAGAAAATTTGTATTTGAAGCAATGTATATGAACCTAGAGACACATTAAGTGAAATAGGCCAGGCACCGAAAGACCTCAATTCTATAAGGAATCACAGAGTAGAAGGATGATTACTAAGGGCTGCAGGGGGGAGGTGGGAGGTAGGGGTTGAGGAAATGTTGTTCCAAGGACACAAAATTGTAATTAGGAGAAACAAGTCTAAGAAATCTACTGTATAATGAAGTGATTATAGTTAATATTGTATTATAGTCTTGAAAATCTCTGGGAGTATCAAGTTTAATGTCTCACCACAAAGAAGAAAGATAAGTATATGGGGTAATGTATAAGTTAATTAGTTTAATTTAAATTGTTATTAAGATTTGTTATCATATACTTAATATTGCTAAGCATTTTATAACCGTTTTCTCAGTTAGTGGGGGCAGAAATTAGTATCCTACCACATTGGGCACTACCGAGACTGCATATGGTATAAAAGAAATCAATAGGATTATGTAAATCCAAATAAAGATATTTTAGTTTTGAACTGGATTTCATAAACTGATTTATTCAGGAAAGGAGGTGATGTAAGAAGACCGATTTGGCCTTTTGGGCCAAGTGCAGAAGGTAACAGGGAGATAAACTTTTGAAACAATACTGCTGTATGGGTTTATAATAGGAAATGTTTCAAGGAAATGTGCAGGTGGCAAGCACAATTCATAATTCTAATGAAGATAGGGTATCTCTGGCAATGCAGCTCTATTCCCCTTCCCTGAAAATTGTGTCATTCTTCTGAAGTTACATTAATGATTACATTCTCCATAGTATTCAGTCTATGTATCAGGAAATCATTTCACCTGTTCTTAGGGAATTTATAATTCCAGTTTGGCTTCTCCAGTTTTTGCCAGTACTCATCTGGGATGAAGCCAATGTCACTATGTGGGTTCTGTAGTCAAGGACACCAACCAATTTTTATCATCAGCCAACCCAAACCCAAATTTCATTATTTTATCACAATGTGTGCAAGAGTGGACTTAAGTAGCCATGAACAAGCCAAGATAAAATCCCCACTGCCAATTTTTCCACTTAGCTAGCCGTATGCTTTGGGCATGTTAACACAATATCTTAACTAGTGCAGGCACCAGGAATGTTTATTGACAGGATTAACCATCTAGCTTCCTTTCCTTTTCTTCTTTTTCATTAAGAGATAAGAAGGTAGGAAAATGAATGAAGAATGCAATACAAAATAGGAAAAGTGACTGTGTAGATTGTTCCATCTTAGAATAAATCAGGAGTTTGGGTTGAACTGGATATCATTTTTAAGCATCATCGTATAGAACTAATAGATCATAGTTATGGGATGACCTTTTGCTGATTGAAAAGGTAGATAAATTCTTGAGGCAGCTTATTTTCAAACCCTGAGGGCTACATTTTGACCATTTGAGGTACAGGTCAGATCAGTGGG